CACTACGTTCACTTAGTTTGAAGCACTATCATAGTGCCTAACATTTAGGAAGTAAATCACCCACTACGTCCACTTAGTTTGAAGCACTATCAACATAATAAACAGGACTCTTGTGAAGGATATTGGCAGGGTATGAGTTGACAGTATACTGTTGTATTACGATCATTGTTTTCTGAACTCACAATAACTTCTTAAATTATCTACCAACAGAGCAGTATAGGTGGCATTTGTGATGGAGCCTACCGTAGAAACCCCAACATTATTAATCACATCATATAGAAAAATGAGACTAAACAAAAAATAATGTTCACTTAACCAGACTTCTCTCTATATGGATTTTTGTCCTCATAAATGGATGTCCACATCAGTTAATGTAAGGCATCATAAAACAAATTCAGTTGAAAGGATGAACTTAATACAGGAAGTCCGCTCACTCATTTGATTTGCATTGGAACCAGCTTACATAAAACTTTAAGTGTTGCCAATGGCCCACATAAAAGCATTTAAAGAAGGGATATGGCAGAGTATGTTAGATGCACTACCAATATCAATCAACATCATCGGTCAACCAAGTCAGTCCAACCTGGGTTAATCAATCATCACAAGAAGTATACATAGAATGATGTCATAGTTAGTTTACTCTTTACACCCAGTTTGATAGCCAGGTTGACAAGATATTTGGTTCAGCTGGCCTTTCTGCTCTAGTTGCCTCGTATTCTATCTTAACTAGAAGAAATGAAGAATTACTTTTGTSACTATGAAGAAATAAAACATAAACATCAAGGTGTTTTCAGTGTTGATACAATTTTAACTCCCTCCATGTCCTGAAAAATCTTTCTTAGGTTCAAGTGAGGCACATGCCTTAAAATCAACCTTACTCATGTGCGTAGATGAATCTCAGGGATGTGTTTTAAAACACTAATACACCCTATCCTTCTTAGTTGTCCTGCATCTGAAGTTCAGACACTCTTACCCTTCCCCAGAGAGACATTACAGACTCCCTGCAGTGAAAGATGCTCTGGTTAATTTATTCAAGCAGTGGAAAAGAAGGCATTTTGTTCTTATTTGCTTATAGGAAGAGATCAAAGGATCTAATTTCCACAAAAAAGACTGCACAGTTTAGAACTAAGATAAGCTTCCTGCAATGGTTACTTTTCATAAGTTAGATAATGTCCACTAACCCCTTGTATACCTTAGAACTACTAATCTATTCACGTTCCTTAGAAGATTGTAACAACTGGAAAGACAACTCTGCATATCCATCATAACTATAACCTGACCAGTTTCCTGTTCATAACCTAGTATATTACTCTAAGACACTTTTTCCCCTTGAACAGAATCTTTTCTTCATCACCCCATGTTAGCATAGCATATGCTCAATTGTCTGTAAAAGGAACCATGGAAACTGGCAGGATAGGTTAGAGATGAACAAGGTGAATCGAATTCTAACCTACCAGTCAGATATTCTTCTCTAAGTCTGCCCCCACTCAGTAGTGGTAGCTGGGATAATTGTAATATTATTCTAATTTAAAATGCAACTGCCAGCACTACATGTCCACCCATTGAGTGAAAGATAAAATTATAGCAATGACAATGCAAATCAAAGCTTTATGGAGAAACAGAAGAAATTGCAATATGTGGCATCATTCCTCAAAAACTAGCCCCTGTAAAGCAATTGCATATCATAAGTCATAACCTAGGATAATGAATGGCCAAAAAATACCAATTCATTCAATGATTTTTCTTGTACTTTCTGGGTCATGGATTCCAATATAGTGACAGTAACTTCTATGCTTTACTACTGTCACATTGCAGTTTAGGTTCCATTGTCATTTGAGCTGAACAACAGATTTTTTGATTAAAATAACTGAGTTTTGCATCTCCCTCATCGCATGAAGGAACAATAGTATTGAATCATTAAATATTTACTCAGGTATAATATTGAGCAACTGCAGATTTTACTAACTCCAACTTGCATTAGGTAACCCCTTTTGATTTCAGTTAACCCATGATATCCATCTCATGATTGCTAATCCACTATGGCATTCACTTAAAACCTTATTATAAGCCAACTGCCAACCACATGACCAAGATATTTGTGCTCTTGCAAATTCAACAGTGCAGTTGTGGCCATGCATCATAGCTTGCCAACTTCAGAATCTGACTGCATGACTCCCCTGAATTGACTCCACTCCCAAGCATGGGGAGCTGAATCATGGTGGTGACTCCTTTGACTCCTGATTTAGTCACTCAACTGTTCTAACAAGAATACCAAGTCCTTCAAATTTTAAAAATAAATTCATTTCATTTTCCTTCTATAAAAATCTGAAACAAATTAGTAGAAAAGAAAAGTTTCCTCATTGGTTCAACCAGGGAATCTCCCTATATGAACCTGCCTATCCATTAGATAGGGGACCTGCTGGATTGACCACATGTTCAGTCCCCTATGCATATGATCCCTACACCTTACCTTGTATTGGAGTTTTACCTTACCAAAACAAGCCATCTAAAGTTATAAATTTATAATTTGTGATTATCATTTTGAAAATACTAATTATGAATATAGAACCAATGCCATGTAATCATAATTTATAGAAATTTAAACTGTTACAGGATTCCCAAGTTAACTCCACTCCTGACCTTGATAAACTGAGTTAAAAATACTAGTTATCAAGTCATGGCATGTATTTTCACAAATAGGAAGGCTCTATGTTACACAAAGAGTAGGGGTAAATTTTGCGACTGGAAGACAGGATCTGTGTGCTAATACAAATTCATTGAGCAATTTGATGCATTGTTTTGAACAATGTGACTATATTGCCAAGCTGTAACATGAATATTGAATCATCCTTTCAAATGAAATGTAATGTCAGAAAAGGATTCTTGTAGCTAGTCCTGAATATCAGGGATGAGACTTGTCAAGTTAATGCACAAATCAAAATCCCAACCCATCTTCGTTCAAATTACAATTCTTAGAGATGATAAAATTTGATTAAAAAATGATCTATCTGCATAAAACATAAGGCTTTACCATAACTAAATGGAAATATGTAGGGCACAAATAAACAAATCAAGGATCCATTGTACCTCTCGTGTTCGTGAAATGCTACCATCAGCAGGAATGATGGGGACTTTCTGCATATTGAAACATACAAAAAGCTCAGCCTAATAAATAACAATTCAAAAAGGTGGATAAAATTGAAATAAGATGTTTCAGAACAATTTAACTGTCTAACCTGAGGCTTCCATCCCAGCTCATCAGGACAACGAAAAGTGGCTTCATTTACTGCTTGATGCTCTATGGCAAATCTAGTTGCACCACTATTAACCCCAAAGTGAAGCTGAAAAACAAGTTGTTAGAATAGACAAGACAATGTGATGCATTTGTCCGAACAAAATGATCTTGAGCTTTCAAAGCATAAAGTTCTTTGGTACTTATGGATTTTGATTCCAATTAAAACGTTTGTCAAACTTAGAATGCATACTAGACAATGTTGGAGTTTGGATTCTGAAGCATAATCCAGTTGTGACATGAAGGCCAAGCAGAAGTGTTTGGCAAGCATAGACTGCAGACAAACTAAGATATATTGCATATATAGGGCATGTTTGGAACCAATGTCGTTTTCCCATTAAAGGGTGCCACCTCGGTGCCACATAGGAGATTCAGTGCTAGGGGGAATGATGCCTGTTTGGTTGGATGTTTGTCCGGAAAAAAAAAATCTCAGACCATGCCTTGGAAATTGAGAAAAGGTGTGTGATGTTTTCTCATTTTTATACCTTTGCTAGAAACGGTTTGCTGATGTGGCATTGAAAAACACCTAGGTGGCAGCAACAGTCGGCAGTGGAGAAAAGGCATCAGTTCCAAACATTACCATAGTGAAAACTATTCACAAAATCTATCAGTAGTAAAACTAGTTATATAGTCTGCTAAAAGCTGGTATCCAGATCAGATTCTTCAGAGACCAGCCAGGGACTCAATAAGACTTCTAATATAAAATGCAAACTGTATCATCTAGGAAACTGGTCCAGATTTTAGGTTAATATTCTAGAAGGACTTGAGTTGCAGTGTACCATATTACTTTGTATGTTTTGTTCTTTGTCAGCACTATATGCTTCAGACGTCAATGAACTAGCCCAGAAATACAATGACAACTGATAATAGCGTACGTCCCATCTAAATGAATATGCAAGTAATACTTGCATAGGTTAATTACAGACAAAACTCATCTGGCTAAGATGCAGCTGCAGACAAAGGTGTGAGAACAACTTACCCAAATAATGTTCTTTGAGTTTGATGGTTCACAGTCCTGCCCAGTGACAGAAGATTCCAATATCTGATATAAGGTAGCAAGAGCTCCCTGCCCAGCAGTCTCAAGAATATTGCAACTTCCAAGAACCAGACCATTTGGCAATCCCCTTTTCTTCACAAACTCTTTCAAATTACTGACAAATATCTCAGTTGGGTTCTCTGAAACTCCATGGAACTTCTTAAATCCTGTAACGTGGACAGTTACCACTGGAGGCCCCTCTGATCCCATTTACCAAAATCCAGAAATGTTTGCAAATAGTGTCTTGCAGAATTCAAATTGCAACAAATACCCTGTTACCTGTCGAACGGAACACGGAACGAGAGATATGATACTTGTACACAGACGCCCAAAGAGGTGCACTCTTAGTTCTGGCATACTGATTCAAATCCAATAATTTCAAGCATCTAAATCAAATTCTAGGTGCCTAGCATCTCCTCGAGTTAAAAAAATCAATCCAACATTAAACGTTGAGCTAAGAAAACGAATCCTTTAAATAACTAAAAATCTGCTGAGAGGAAATCGGATAAACATAGAAATCCAGCTTGCATGAACCGTGATAATAAAAAAGTGGAAGAGGACCAAACAAATTCGAAGAACCTCAGTAGGAGAAGACAAGAAAAATAAAAAGATGGAACTAAAAGAAAATTCAATTCATTCGAAAACAACCCAGGTGGAATCCAGAACCCCAAGAAAATACGAATAACCGATCAGGTACAGAAGGTCGCAAAAAAAAAGAACAGGATTAAAGTCAAACCATCTCCAATCGAATTAACATGAGAAAAAAACATCGAAATTCCTTACCTTTTAATCTAAAGGAAGCAAGGAAAAAAGCGCAACTCGAACAATTAATAGGAACTGTTTCCTTCTCTACTCAAATTAATCTCCCGATCGACGATCGTAATAAGAGCGACGGGAATGGAGAAGGTGGCGTTGGGTAGTCGCGTTCAGTGAGGACTAAAAGGAGTGAAGAGAGGCCTTGTCAGACTCGGATATGGATACTTTTAACTCGGAAAATTCATACATCATTAGAATTTATAGTTTAGACGTGGGCAGGACAAAATCAGTAAATCACATACCAAACAAGTAATTATTACGCACTGATAGAAGGTACTAATTTAACATGGTCTGTGGATTATTAACTTGCCACATGTAACTTTAAAGGATTTAAAGGACCTGTCAAACGTGTCTGATGATGCTTTGGATGAGCGGCACGTGGCAATCGAAGGGAGATGTCAATACCATTTCTCAGACCAAATCCGATCTCATTATTTAACCGAAGGATCATGGTCACTCTGCTTCTGCCTTCTGCTGCTGTTAGCGTAGAAAGGTAAAGGATTCCTTTCCGTCACGACTCTTTTCTTATTATTTTATTTAGGGTAAAATATAAAAACTTCGTTTGAAGTTTCTGACAATCATAAAAATTTCTCTTATAGTTTCATTTTAATAAATATTTCTCTTAAAACTTTTGAAAAACTTAACAAAAACCTCCCTTTCCTTATTGTCTTAGACGGAAAAAGTTAGATTGATGCATCAGTTTTTTCCAAATATCCAGTCTACCCTTTTATAAATTATTTTACATATAAAATTACTGAAATAATCCCATTTTAACTCAACAAAAAAATATATTTTAGTGATTTTGTATATAAAATTACTGAAATGGTCATTAAAAGAGGTTTTTGTTGAGTTAAAATAGGGTTATTTAAGTAATTTTGTATGTAAAATAATTTATAAAAGGGTAGAATGGGTATTTGGAAAAATTTGGTGCATCAATTTAACGTTTTCCATATGGGGTAGTGAAAAAAGGGAGGTTTTTGTGAGTTTCTCAAAAGTTCAGGGGAGGTATTTGTTAAAATAAAACTATAAGGGAGGTTTTTATGATTGTCAAAAACTTCAAGGGAGGTTTTTGTATTTTACCCTTTTATTTATTTTATTTTGCATGACCGGTGTGATGTATGGAGATGTACCTTTAATTAAATGATGTTTATTTAAATTACAATCTAAGGCCATATTTGATGATTAAGTGGTTGATAAAAGAAGTATTTGTTGCACAAGTACTTTTTAGAAGTACTTATTTTAAAAACAATTTAAGATTGTTTAGTGACCCACTTGCCAAATCACTTATTATGTTTTAAAGCACTTATTGGGGTGGGAATGTTTGGTAAGCTATTTTCCCCATAAGTGCTTATATTGATACAAATGACAATTTTAGCTCTCACTTCACTTATACATATATATAATGTTTTTCACATATTAAACTATACATTTCATGACAACTAAGAGCCCACGTGGATTCACACGTGAAGTGCCATGTGGACCCAATTGATGAAAATAATAATAATAATAATAATAATAACAACAACAACAATAATAATAATAAGTCAACAACAACAACAAATAATAACAAATAATAAATATTATTGATAAATAATAATAATAATAATAATATTCAAGAATATATGTAGAAATCATCCAAAAAAAACTAAATCTGGTAAAGAGGGTTTCAGGCGTTTAAAATCTCATAAAAGAACCCAAAATATTTAAGAATATATGTAGAAAACTGATGAGACCAAAAAGAACCCTATTTTTATCCCCTAATATTCACTCTTTTACATTTATTTAGCACTTAAATGGACTCATTACTCTTGTATTTCGATTCAGAGCAATAAAGAAGGCAATTGGAAGAAAACAGGGCAAATCGAGTGATTTTGCACAGTTTCGGCGACAGTCAGTAATCTGGGCCTAACTCTCAATTCCGGACTCCGAATTTAACAATTCAATAAGCATTAGAAAGATGAAAGGAAGGCCCACAACTTTTATGTTTTGGGTTTTGACAGATTCGGCCCGCATCGAGTACGAAAACGAGTCCGAAGTCAGAGCAAGTTCGTAGCTAGGCCCATTTCACAACTTAAGCACAACTCGCAGAAGTACCTTGAAGCAGCCCAAGTTTTAAAGCAGCCCAACTCGAATTCAAGAGTCAAGAGTCCAAATCTCGAATGTAATTTCGAAAGAGAGAGTCTTATCAGATCTAAAGTCTTGAATATAATCCTAGAAAGATAAGAAAATTGAGATTAGATCATTAAATAAGAGATAGGATAGGATTAGTTCAAAGAAGATCAAGACTCCCTAAAGATAAGATGATCTCCTACAGGGAGTTGGAAAACAGCCATCTCCTTGGGCTATATAAAGAGGGGGGCAAACCA